ATCCAGCAGCAGCAGCAGCAGCAGCAGCAGCAGCAGCAGCAGCAAGAAGCAGCAGCAAAAGCTGCTGCGGCAGCAAGCAGCAGCAGAAAAAGAAGAAAGCGATTACACAGATTCTGAGAACAGCATGGAGGAGGATGAGGAGGAAGAGGATGACGAAGAAGACGGTAAACCCTAAACCCTAAACCCTAAACCCTAAACCCTAAACCCTTTCTTTTTCTTAAGATGCCACGAAACCCCAAACCGTAAACGCTAAACCCTATTTTTTAATATTATATAAACCCCTCTAGGGTTTAGTAGGGGTTCTAGGGTTTAGGGTTTCTCGGGTTTAGGGTTTTTTAGGGTTTAGGGTTTCTAGGGTTTAGGGTTTTAGGGTTTAGGGTTTAGGGTTTAGGGTTTGTGTGTGTGAATACAGAGGGTGCGCTGAGCAACATATTTGGTGTGTTAGCGTCTGATGGTGTTTCAGCACTAACAGACAGACAAGCAGCAGCAGCAGCAGCAGCAGCAGCAGCAGCAGCAGATGAGGAAGAAGAAGCAGCAGCAAACGAAATATTAAATACAGATTTAGTTTTAGTTGCTGCTGCAGCAGAACATGACTTCAGCTCTCTTGAGGTGTATATACACGACACACAAACCGCCAGTTTATATGTACACCACGATATCATGGTAAACCCTAAACCCTAAACCCTAAACCCTAAACCCTAAACCCTAAACCCTAGAAACTCTATATATATACACCCTATATACTCTGTATAAACCCTAAACCCTAAAAACCCTAATTTCCTTTCGCATACAACTCATCTCCTCCTTTTTTTTTTAACAGTTGTGTATATGGTGTATAAAATATCTAGGGTTTAGGGTTTAGGGTTTAGGGTTTAGGGTTTAGGGTTTGTGTTCAGTGCGGGGGTTTTCCTCTTTGTCTAGAATGGCTGGGGTTGATGCCGAGCTCTCCGCGGCGTAATTTAGTTGCTGTTGGTAGTTTTGATTGTTTTATAAATATTTATGATTTAGATGTGTTAGATACACTTGAACCTGTATATACACTCGGACTGCAGCAGCAGCAGCAGCAGCAGCAGCAGCAGCAGCAGC